ATGTATGGTTTAGTATTCTTTCTGTTTCCATGTTTTAGTTAAAACATCAAACTGTCAGTCTGTAAAAATACATTCATTTGAGGTCCTTCCCAAACTAAGTGAATTGAAATCTCTAGGAAAGTAAGGCTTAGTATTTTTTTCTGAAGCTGACGGAGTGATTTTAAAGAGCAGACACAGGTGAAAATCAGTGTCTAGCCAGCCAGACAACAAAATAGTAACAATTTATACAAATAACTCCTTATAGAGTAAGATGCATTGCAAGATAGAGGATTATCTTATTTACACGTATGTTAATTTGATTGAGGGATATTTTCTAGATCAAATATTACCAGTAATACCCAATATGATAAAAATAAAGACTTGGGTAGCTTTCTGTTTTATGGCTTGCATAGCATTTTTTTACTTGTCTGTTCGTGATAGTGCTAAACAGAAAAAAAATCAATCATAGAACATTCCCAGAATTTTTGTTGCATTCCACTCTGTCTTCTAGATATTTTTATCCCCAGGGTCTGCATAAATTAGGCAATCCTAGGTAATGTTTACTGTGATTTAATTTAGAAAGTAATTCAGGTAACTGAAGAGATGGAAAGACAAAGTTTCACGCTAAAATATGTATCTTGTATGTTTTGTCCTTTTTCTATGCCTAAAAGGAATATTACCATTAAATACTTCTAGAACTACAGAAACCCTTATATAACCATTCTATAATAATGCAAATAATTTAACAATAAAATGCACAGTTCCTCAAAGGCTAATTTGTGGTTGTAAGAGACAAAAAATTTGTTGAATAACCAAACATAAAATGGCTGTTGAATCAATAACTTTAGGAAGGTTAACATTTTAACTGTAAAATGTTGCTTAAGGAGTAGCAGCATGGATGTAGGTAATGTGCTATTCTATTCTAGGTGTTGGCTAAACATGAAATAGCAGTGCTTTAAATAGAGATAGCTGCATTCCTAATTCATCATCAATACCTGTGCAATTAATGCTCTGTGGGTATGCTTAAGTGACAGAAAGAGAGGCTCTTCGAGGGTACAGCTCATGACAACAATTTTTCAGATGATTTTGTTGACTAAATTCATGGGTGGCATGTTTGATGTAACATTTTTAGAACAAAAGATTTTTTATAAGAACAATGAAAACAAGACAAAAGTAAGACTGACAAATGCCCTGCCCATGGAAGCTAGAAGATTGGCACACAATTTTCTCCTTAATAGGAAAACAAGAAAAGAAACCAGTGATTTCAAAATAAACAAGTGCCAGTTGCAGTCTCAGAGAGCACTGACTTAAGGGAAAAAAACAAGAGGTGGAAGAAGAATTGTGAGGTTTGATAAGTTCTTGTTTGAGGCTGGATGGCGGCTCCTTAGGTTCAGCCCAGGGCTTGATCTGGCTGCAGTTTGCTGTGCTGATATCAGTTTAGAGCAGCGGTTCTCAACCTTCCTAATGACGCGACCCCTTAATACAGTTCCTCATGTTGTGGTGACCCCCAACCATAAAATTATTTTCGTTGCTACTCTATAACTGTAATTTTGCT